TCACAGAAGATGTGACACAAGGGAAAGAGCTGGGAGATGTAGAAATGGTATGGACCGTCTGGAGGGTGGATTGAGATCTTTAATATTTTCTAGTGTTTGAGCTCTCTAGAGGCTCAACAGTATTCCTGCAGTAGTACAGGAGGTTTGTGTGCAAATATTTGCATTTTCACTGTGCAGAAAGTGCTGGCCAGATGTGGGACTATTTGCATCACCAATGTACAGGAAGATGTTATTCCTACTGTAAAGCATTTATCAATCCAGTTTGTTTAACGTTGAAAAGATTAATGGTAGCATTTGCAAAAGCATTCAGGTGACTTGTGATCTCCAGTCCAATTCACTGCTTAAATTAAGAGATGTGCCGCATAAGGATTTTTTCGCAAAGTCTCAAATGAACTGGGAAAGACAGCTTGGTGTACAGGTTTCCCTGGAAGAAACAGCAATAAGCCTGAAGGTACTTACAGGAGAAGAGAAATCTGGTGTGGAGATTATTAATGTAGCATTAGTGGGAGAGAGAGCCCAGAGAAAGTGGAAATGAGTGTTTAGGACATTAGTTGATCTTGCAGTGATAACTGATGGTGAGGATATTTATGGTTGCCCAAGCATTCCCCTTTTCCATAAGCAGCTCTAGGTGCTCATTACTTAATAAAAACAAAACAAAACAAAACCCCAACAAACACACACATTAAAAAGATCAAAACCAAGAACCAAATCCTCAACTTCTCTAGGAGTTGATCTGTTGTAGTCAGTTGAGCTGTTCCTGGCAACAGAGGATATTCCCTATGATATGAGGATATGTCTTGCGTTTCTTCTCAAACCGTTAAGAAGCATGTGCACCATTACTGCACAGATGATTCATCTCAGGGAGTACTGTGTTTTTGGCAGTGAACTTAAAATACCATATTTTAACACCACAAAGAAATGATTTCTTTGAAAAGAATTCAAGAACAAAACTCCCAACCATGCCTTTCACTTTACTATAAATCAAAAAGCTATTTACCCGGCTCATTCAGAAATAATGGTGAAGTACTTAGCCAGCGTCTGTTGGCACATGTTAGCTGATAGTATTTAATAACAATATCTCCCTTGAGAAAATATGTAATATTGAAGTTTGTAAAATAGTACATTTCTAAGACCTGAAGTAATGTTATTGGGATGAAACAAAATGCCACTTTTTAATATAAGGTTGATTGTAGGCTTTGTTCTTCCTTGCCACTTAACACGTACACATTACTAACCCAGAAATGTTTATGCAGTCATTTTGAAGAAGTTCAAATGATCACATAGGTTATAAATATTTATGTTCAGCATGCTTGGCTTTGCAGACCGTCCTGTGTAATTTATGCAGAAGTTTTGGGGAACACAGGTTGAGGGGCAAGTTGCAGCTCAACGGTCCTACTCGCCAAAAGGGCAAAGAACCTGTTGAGAATGTAAGCACTGCACTGTGAGTTGGGCATGGCAAGGAAGGTTTCTGCTTGTCAGGGTACTCTCAAAATAGCCTTGTATGGCCCATGGTACATTTATGACGTCTGTAATTTGGATTTGCCTCACCAGGCAAGGCAAGTTATCTGAAGTTATCTGAAACAGTTCTCATTTGGCAACTTCAACGAGTTTTGGAAATGCACAACCCAGTTTGCAGCCCTTGCAGAGTGTTTTTGCTCCTTAGAACTCAAAGGTATTATGCTGATTTACACCAGCCACTGATCTGCCGCTGGGATTTGGTTGCAGACTAACTCAGAGTATCTGGTGAGATAATTGTAGGGATGCACAGAAACAAATGTGAAAGGCTATTTAGTGTATTAAACTTGGTAACCCTTCCAAAAGTAAGCATTGATCTAGTATGTCCCATTTGGAGTATCTCCAGGATTGCAGTTATATTCAACATAGGAGCTGATTTTTGAAAGTGCCATTCATCTTTTTGCAAGTGCGAAAAGATATTAAAAATTAGGCTGCACAGGTTGCAAAATAAGGCATTCAAATATTAGTGGGAAGGGCAACCTATGCGACAGCAGTTTGTCTCCCATTTTGTGGCTGCTTTATAATTCAGTCGTCACACACATGGTTTTATGGTATGCAGTTTTCAGATACCTTGCTTCATGCAATATACTAACTAAATGAGCAGCTATTAAATTCTTTTTTCATCTGTCAATGTGTTTCCATTGTGCCTTATGTACTGCATGCCATACAAATCCACACTGAGGTACAGAATTATTTCCTGATGGTCATTTCTATAATGCTTTCATAGGTCTCACCCTCTAGAAGAACTTGTATGTATTAATTGTTGCCATAAAAGACTAGCTAGATAGCAAAACCAACTAAGTTAGGTGCTTAGGACTGGTTAAAAAAATAATTCCTCTGGGTTCCTAACTTCCCACTGAAAACCCCATGCAGTTAGATACTTCAGTAGGATCTTAAAAGCCTAGAAAACTTTATGAATCTTGATACTAAGCTTTTATTCTAATCAATTCATTTATTTTTACAATATTCCTATAGTTAAGACCATGTCGCTATATCCGTTTTATAGACAGGGAAGCAAGGAGAAGCCTTTCTAGTCAGAAGTGCCAGCTAAAGTCATAGCATTGTGACTCTCATCTCAGCACTTCAGTGACATCAGTCCTTCCCAAACTTAATACACAGAGGTTCCTTAGTTTCTAAGTGTCAAGCTGGTGACTGTAATAAGTTCTTTATTTTCTAACAGTCACCAGTTCACATAATTCGCCTGATCTCACAGGAATTCTGTGGCAGAGGCTAGGATATGCTCCAGTTCTCAGGTACAGGCATTTATTGAGCTCTTGATGTAATCACCCTTTATTTCCCCGGTTCTTCCTCAGATCCTGTGCATAGTATGAGGAAAGGTTTTGGGGAAAAAAATTAAGCAATTGTGTAACAAAGGACTGTATATAAAATCTAAAATGGCACAGAAAACCTGACACTAATTTTTGAGCACTTGACTTGGCAGTCTTGCCATTCTCTTAATATAGTTTTTGGGAATGCAAGCGTTTAAAGCCAATGTATATATAAATTCTTGCGAAAGGTGAATTCTCCCATCATGCTGCCTTCATATTTCTTATTCTAATGGGTCATTAGAAGGTTCAGCTCTTTAGATTCATAGCACATCCTCTACCACTTGACTTAAGAGTAGAAGATTTCTCAGCAGAAGACAGCAGCCTGCCAGATTGGCAGAGGGTTAGAGAGGAGGGGAATAAGGAGCTGAGGGGGAGTGGAAATTAGTGCATTTCACATAAATTAATTAATTGCATAGATAATCTTAGATTCATAAGTAGCAGATGCAAATTCTCCGGAGAAGCGTGTTCTAAGGTTCACCTCCTGAAACTCTTGCCTCTCTTCTGCTTAACCCTCTTCTTGCCCTTGACACCCTCCCAATCTGCTTTTCCGGTCTCATATGCCTTAACTGACTTCTGCATTCTCAGACTACCTCCTCCTCAGTTGCTTCATTAATAATGATGATGATGCTCCATTAGCATCCTCCTCCCCTGGTTTTGCCCTTCCTCCCGCGTGCATCTCTTATTCTCCTTTGCCATCTCTCCCCTTCTTTGGCTGTCTCTCTGCCCTGCTGTTCTTCACCCTTTAGGTCTTGATTTTAATGCTTTTGTACTCAAGACTCATCCTTTCTTCATCCATCTTGCCTCATCAGAGAATACAACTTCTTCTTTTATTCTGCTTCTTTCCATCTGAGGTTGCTTCTTTCTCCTCCTTCCCCCTGCCCACAGGCATTCTTCCAGCCCCTGGCCATAGCCGCTGTCAGCAGCGCAGAGCAGACATTGCGGGGTTTGTCCTGCTCAGATACTGTACCAACGGGTGGGTGAGATTGCAGAAACGAGTGTGAGGTTAATATGTGGGAGCTGAATACCGCGTCTGAGCTGTGAAGGGGTGGGGATAATCAATGCATATGGATTCACCTGGGAATTTGCTGACAAACTCTTAACAGGTATCCAGGGAGAGCAAGAGTGAACAGAAATGTTCATTACTCTGCTAAGCACGTGTACATTTTCTTAGGAGATGACAAAAAGCATATCTCTTGGCACAGAATCACCCCTGCCAAATGTTACATCCCTGCTTCAAACCATAGTGACACTAAAATATTCTCAGAAAAGAGTACGGTTGGTTTTGTTCTTACTATTTAAGTATGAGCAAAATATTTTTTTCCTTTACTAAGTTTTGAGAAATGGCTAACTCATCCTTGCTGAAAGTTCCCAAAACTTGCACCTGAGGTAGGCACTAGGCATTGAAAATGTCCTCCTCAACTGTTATTTTGGCAAAGGTAGAAGTAGCAGAATACAAAATATTCCAGTTGGACATCTTGAATAACTTTAAAACCAGGCTGTTGCTACCTGAACTATCAGTTACTGAATTAAAAAAAAAAAAGGGGGGGGGGGGGGGAGAAATTTGAATGCCATTAAAAGATAAGAAGAATAGGGGGGGGAGGGGGGGGGGGGGGGGAGAAATTCGTATGACATTTAAAGCTAAGTAGTCTGAGAAAATTCTTTGCTTGAAAATGTGTGACATTTGGGAAGAAACACATGTTGTAACTGCTCCCCACTAGACAAGAAAATAGCATTTTTGGATGAGGCTTTTTCTTTCCTGTATCAGGATTTTTCTGTCTGGGTTGGTTTGGAAACAGGTAGGGGATGCCATTGCCCAGTCATGTTCCACAGAGGAACATTTCTGATTTTTTTTTTTTTTAATGAACTGTCAGAAATTGCATTCCTTGGTCCAAGGCTGAAGAATAGTTGCACTGTTTTTGAAGACAAAAAATGTCACATCTGTCATGTGAATATTTACATATGGGTGCAGAATTTCATGTTTACATAAAACCAATGTTAAGGTTACATCCCCTAAAACAACTAGATTTTATAATTAACCGTACGAAACATTAAGGATTAATTCCCTGTATTTTTCAAAAGGCATGCATAAGAAATCAGGCAGGGTATGACTCGTAAATGTTAACGTGCTGTACCTCTGTGTCCCTCTTTTGACAGTGATTAGTGCAAAGCTATCTGCACATATAATCTGTGGCAAGGAGCACTGGGAGACAGCTAAGAGACAGTGACAATGTCTTTAAACTGGTGGGCAATTCCTACTCGACTTGGAGTTTTTAAAGTGAACTGCAAAGGACTGGCATGCCTCTTGGTCTTCACAGTGAGCGTTTGTGGCAGTGCCCCATGGATGTGTCCAACAACCTGCATCTGTGCCAGTGATATCGTAAGCTGCACCAATAAGAACCTCTCCCAGGTGCCAGAAAATCTTTATAAATGTATGAAAAGGCTGGATCTGAGTTATAACAGAATTGGGTTTTTGGAGCCTGAATGGGTCCCAGTGCTGTTTGAGAAACTGAACACTTTAATAATCAATCATAATAGCATTAGCAGCATTATCACTGGAAGCTTTTCCACAACCCCGAATCTGAAGTACCTAGACTTGTCATCCAACAGCCTGAAGACGCTGGGCAGCCCTGTGTTTCAGGAGCTAAGGGCACTGGAGGTTCTCCTGCTGTACAACAATCAGATAACACAGATAGAGTCTTCAGCCTTCGGAGGATTGTACAAATTGCAGAAACTCTACTTAAGCTATAACTTGCTCTCGCATTTCCCGCTGGACTTGTACACTGGAAAACATAAACTGACAGACCTTGCGTTGCTGGACATTTCCTTTAATCACATCCAGTCGATGCCTATTCAGCGCCTGAGTTCAGTGCCGGCCAAACATCTTAGTGGAATTTATCTTCATGGCAACCCGTTTTATTGTGACTGTATGCTGTACTCCATGCTAATCTTCTGGTATCAAAGGCACTTCAGCTCGGTGGTGGACTTCAAAAACGAGTACACCTGTTTGTTGCGATCAGACCCAAGAGGTTACAATAAACTGCCTTTACTGTACGACAACATTCTGAATTGCTCCGAAAGCACTGTCAACAGCTCTTTCCAAGCCTTTGGGTTTATTCACAATGCCCAGGTTGGTGACAGGCTGATTGTGCACTGTGACAGCAGAATCAGCGATGCGGGCACACACTTTGTTTGGGTTAGTCCGGACAATAGATTGCTGGAGCCAGACAGGGAGACCGACAACTTTAAGGTGTTTCGTAACGGCAGCCTGGAGATAACAGATGCCCAGCTAGAGGACTCAGGGCTGTATTCCTGCATCGCAATAAATAAGAAAAGACTATTAAATGAAACCATAGAGGTTAGAATAAATGTTAGCAATTTCACAGTGAACAGGTCCCACGCTCATGAAGCATTTAATACAGCTTTTACCACTCTTGCTGCCTGTGTAGCCAGTATTGTTTTAGTACTGCTGTACCTCTATCTGACCCCCTGTCCGTGTCAATGTAAGGCGAAAAGGAGGAAGAGGAAGCTGAACCAAAGCAGTGCCCACCCATCCATACTTAATTCCACACCGCCACAAGAGCTGCCAGCCGACGAGAGGAAGGCTAGCACTGGTAAACGGGTGGTTTTCCTGGAACCCGTGCACGAACCAAAACACAGTCAGAACGGGAAAGTAAAACTGTTTCCTAATGACAATATCATTGCTGAGAGTATCTTAAAAACTACTCGAATAAAATCTGACTCCGATTCTGTCAACTCCGTGTTCTCAGATACACCTTTCATGCCGTCAACTTAGTTTGCTGCCTGTGTTTGTATCGTGCAGTTACATTTCTGAATACCTCCTTTGCTTGTAGCAACCGTCAGGAAAAACAAATAAAAAGAGAGAAAATGTTTTAAAAAAAGTATCTATCGTCAGTCCTTGAACTGTGTCTCCTCTCTGTGTGAGTGCAGGGCCATGCAACGGTGATATCTTGTTCGGGAAGAGCAAACACTGTGGCATTAGTGTGAATGACTTCAGTGCAAGCTTAGCTTTGGCTTTTACTCTCTGGTCCATACACAGCAATTTCTCGTGCATGTTTAGAGGCGCGTTCAGTGCATGCAGCTGACTCTTCAGAGGCAGAGGCTGACCCCTATAAAACACTCTCAGTCGTGCTGATAACTCAGCTCCTCTGCAGTGAGCACAGAAGAAAACTCAGATGGCTACTGACAAAAATGCCCAGGCTTCCTGCAATTCCTTTCACAGGCTCATAAAATCTTTGCATTAAAATCACTAGGGGAAAAAAGTCATGAGTTTTCTTGGACTATCAGAACAAAAAGATTGAATTTGCCACCAGGATGCCTAGCAGCACTGGATAAATGTTTATGGCCTTCAGCTGATAATGTGTTTGCCAGTAACTGCTTGGAAACTTTAAATGGGGGGCATTGTACTCTTTTTATTCAAAACTTAGGCATGGGATTACTCATGAGAAGTAAAGTGGTTATATTTGTTTATAAATATTGACACATAATGAAAACAGGTAAAAGTTAATGCATTACCTTTGCAGTTGCCTTAGTCGAGGAATGAAAGTTGTCAGTCCTGAGGACTCAAGCTAATCAGCGGTAACTCATTAAGCTGCAATAACTGGATTGATTGTAATCGGTTGTCTTATCTCCGCTGCTCACTGCACGCTTGCCATCACATGTGGTGAACAAGCCTGACACCATCACTAGGGCTTGAGCTTCATCTTAGGGGTGGGTGGCTTCTCTTCGGAGGTAACTTCACGAAATAGGGGGAATATTTCAATTAATCCTTTTAGTGGCACATGGTTCCAGCAGTCTTATAAAATTTGCTTCCTAAAGATTTTTCTTAAAAGAGGAAGTACGGTACTTGGACAAATTCATGAAAAATATAGAAGACTTTACGCACTGTGAATTCAGAAAGCACAGCTTTTCGCTAGACTTGGCCCTTGTCTTGTATTTACCTCTTCCTTCCTTGCCCAAATGTATCATTGTCAAATTTTATGAACCTGCTAAGACTGACCTGGACTGGTCATGCAACATAGGTTGCATGAAGTGTTGTGTTACTGTAATGAGCATACTGTTATATTTGCTATTTATTTTTCTGTTATAGTTGCCTTTTTTTTTTTAAGCTTACTTACATTGGGACTGGGCTGGACTTCACCAGTCTTCCTCACATTGATTAGTATCAACTTCAAAGGCATTTTGCAAGGAATTACAGCTTACCAAAGAAGAGTAATTGGAGCATGTCTGTCTCATTCTATCTTTGGGGAATATACTGAAAGGGTAAAGGATAAACAAAATCAGAATCAAAGGGCTACATGGATGGCAACTGTAATTTATTTTTGAGAGGCTTACTGTAACAGAAACTTGCCATTTTTTGTGATCTCTTTTGAGAGGCCTGTCGTCATGCTAAAGCTTATATCTGGCTGAGCCAAAGCTATCAACAATTGATTTGCTATGGAGAAATCCTGATGTAGCTAACTGTTTGAAAGCAAGCTATCTAGAAAACAGATTAGATCAGGAAGCAGTGTTGCTGTGATGTGCACAAATTATGTGGAATTAGAAAACTGCTGGAGATTTTTATTCAGATATTCAGAGAAACAGAAGATGGAAATTCTTTTTCTAGGCAGAGGATAATAAATATTTAGGAGAGAAAGATCACCAGGGGTTTGGGTCTTTTATTTGTACATATATCTGTTTAAATTTAAAAATAGCTTTTGCTATCAAGCAGGTCAGTGTCCTTTCATAAAGCTCTTTCTCTCTTTTATCTGTATTCATGCATTACATGTTTATGTAATTCATACATGTATCCATATATGTTTATATGTAAGGTATGATGGAAAACCAGTGATTGTCTTTGCTAAAATCAGTGATATAGTTGGGTCATCTGTCAATGAGGCAAAGGCCTGACTTTTAAGACACTGTCTCCTTCTCAAAGATTTTATTGAAAAGATTCAACTAAGCTGCGTGATCTGGGGCTGTGCCGCACATGTGGTGGGTGGGTGTCCTCCATGTTGTGCAAGGAACCGATCAGTGACCTGGAGCCAAAGGGCTGAAATGGTGGTGAGGCAGAGTGGGAAACAGAGAGGCAAATACTTCTGTGGAAAGCTGTACAGATCGGTTACAGCTCTGGGCAGATATTATGCTCTGTTGTTATACATGAGGTTAATTGACCCAGATTTCGGTGTTTACAAGAGTGCTGACGGTCAGTACCATATTGGGCTGGAAAAGAAAACAGGCTGTTGTCGGTGCAGCTGGGAGGCAGATGTACACATCTCCTTAGCAGCTACGGCTGAGCCGGTGCACCCCGCTGCTGTTCACAGCGCAAGCCAGTGACGCCGTGTATCGAACTGACTGTGCATTTTAAAACTGCATTGTAGTTCTAAATAAAAAAGGTAGAGATCTCGCAGCCTGCCTTCCGCAGGGCTGCTGTCCTGCAGCAAGAGCGTGGGGATTTGTGGGATCAGAGTAATCCTGCCAGATGACTAGAGAAGCTGAACGTTGCTCTAAACAGCAGATATTTACTGTGATTATTAACTGGCTGTATTTTAGTGACTGCTTCAAAGTGCTCAGAGTTGTAGCTGTGATTATGAACAAGTTGGTAAAACCAAAGCTTTTGAAGGAGCTGTTGGCTTGTTTCCTGCTTCTTTGCGTTATCACAGTCTCGTGAGTTCAGTAGGTGCAGCTTTAATAAAGATTTTTAAAGTCTTTACTGAATATTTACAGCACTGACACCACAAATCTACAATCCCAGTCCTCTCCTCGGAAGGCTGTGGAAAGCCGATGCAGCTCAGCTGTTCCTCCCTTCCCACCGCAACGCAAGCCCCCCGAGGGCTCTGAGTGGGGAGCCAACACTGCCGTCCTGCTCCACAGCCACACGGCACCCCGAGCGGTCGTGAGGGGTTGCCCAGATGCCACACCAGCAGCTCCAGTGCGGTCCACCCTCCCAGCGAGCCTTCATTGGCAGGCCTGTCCTACCGCCGTGTCATCCCCGTTGGTCTATGTCCTGGATTTCACGTTGCTGTTTCCAGCAACTACTGAAGGGCTGAATGATATTTTTATACAGAGTGAGCTCAGTTCTGCAAGGTGTTGAGTGCTCTGGCACCAGTCCAGCCACACTCTTAAAATGGGTTTGCAGTAAGGCAGAGGTACCAACCCACTGGCAAGAAGTCTCTGCTTGGGTGTGGGGTCACTCACTGCCTCTGCAAGATGCCCGGAATGAGAGATTCGCCATGCAGTTCAGATAATGCCAGGTGAGTTTTGCTCTCCCTTTTCTTCTTTCCAGTGCCTGAGACTGTGCCACACAAGGTCATAGACAGGGCTTTAAGCTGTAGCTGAATACTGTGTCTTTTTGTGGTCCTCCTTTGAACCTAGGTCCTCCACCACTTTAACAGTGGTGAACAGCTTCTCTCTTACTCAAGGGCCTATTGCATCAGTTCCAGCTGTCTCACAGATCAAAAATAAGGGTAATGGCCGCAGACAGCTCTGGGAGGTCATGTCCTTGCCTCTGTGTGTTTCCGGTACTGCACATGCCTGCAAGGCATAAACTTTTGTGGAGCATGTTGGAAACCGGTCATGTGAGGCCAGCATGAAACCTCTCAGGCTGGTCCTGAGTGTAGCGACAGCAACTGCACAACTGCATTGTCCCCATATTACCCACCTGTTGTGGCAGGTGAGAGGGAAGGCTGCTAGTCATCTCTCCTGACCTCGATAACGTTAAGTATCTGACTGCGACCACCTCACTAACGATGAACTCGTACAATGGCTGACTGCCCTTCAAATACGCTGAGTAGCTGCCAACCAAGCTGGAAGCTGAGGGTGAACCGAAGTGCTTTCCTGATACCAGCCCTCAATCTGCAATTGGTTATGACAGCCAGCACCATGTCCTTTTAGCCCCCACTTGTTAGGCAAATAGTGCTCCTGGTTAGTAATGTATCTATCTCCTTAGCATTGCTTCTTCAAAAAGTCAGATTTCTGAGGACTGCTAATGACAGTGTCAAAGGACTAACGGATTATATAGCTCGTTATTCTGAACAAGCAAAACCCTAGGGTCAAGTTATGATTAAAACATAAACTTTCATTTAGGATAGCACAAGATTATTTCTTCCTACTAGAGTAAATCAACCTCCTTCAGAGTGCTTTTATAGAATCATAGAATCATAGAATCATTGAGGTTGGAAAAGACCTCTAAGATCATCGAGTCCAACCGTCAACCCAACACCACCATGCCCACTAAACCATGTCCCTAAGCGCCTCATCTACACGTCTTTTAAATACCTCCAGGGATGGGGACTCCACCACTTCCCTGGGCAGCCTGTTCCAATGTTTCACCACTCTTTCAG